TTATGTCTAAATTTAAATCATAACACCTCATGTGACAATGTGGTTAGTGCATTCTTTTGCATATATTTGATCCAGATTTGAATTCAACACTTAACATATATTTTTTTCAATTTAATTTTAACGAACCAATTTCGACTGTTCATGAGCATATTTCGAACACGAATAATTTCAAACGAGACAAATATGAGCCAAACCTGAGCTCTCACAAGCTCTGCTCGTTACATACTTAGGCTCCGTTTGGGGCCGCTTTTTTCACGCGGTGCGGCCCATAACCGCGATAAATTACTGTTTGGTGGCCAGCTTCGCTGTTGAACGACGCCGAAGCGGGCGAGGCTCCCTAATATTCGAAATTGCCCTCGCTAATATTCAAAGAAGCGCCATAAGTGTTCCCTCTCCCGAGCGTTCTTCCCAGCCCTAGCGATCCTTCCATCGCCATCCCACGCCTTCTTCGTCGCAATCCAGAATTCAAACCAGCCCTAGCAATCGCGCCGTCTTGCCGTCTCTACAGCAAAAAACCTTCCTTCTTCTTCGTCCTGAGCCTTCTACTTCTTCGACCGCTCAATCGCGTTCCGTCCCGAGCCGTCTATTCGAAGAAGCGCCATAAGAGTATGCAAGATATTAAGAATGTGCAAATTTTTTGTTAGACATCAACGTCTTGTTGTCTTAGGTTGTCTGGGCATGTGCTAGTTTGGGCTCTAAAAAGTACCGCTTAGCTTTTATGATCAGATTTTTTATTGGTGCATGCTCTTATGAGATAATTAACTCTCTCAGTAAGGTGAGAGAGAACAATAATGCTGGTCATCAAGGGCTAAGTGATTCACATATAATAGTAGCAACAACTTCATTTTAAAAGAGTAAATTCATACACATGCTTAAAAGGGATGGTAGAGGAAATGATACAACAACAACAACACAATTCTGCAAATGCATTGGATTGATGTTTTCTTCAAGGGAACAATCCGCATAATATGTGTTAAGAAATCACGATTGTATGTATATGAACTTTCTGTTCTGTTTAGAAATAAATTTCTGCTTCATAAGTTTAAAAAATGTAGTTGTTACAACATTCTTTTAAACAGTTTTAACAAATAGGGGCATCATGGTCATTTCTCTATAAATAGTTGCCCCACAGCTGTTTTCACACAGCCGTACCAAACAGACAGTCGGCTTCCCCGCAGCAGCTTCTTGGGGCAGCACAGCTGTCATCATGGTCATTTCTCTATAAATAGTTGTCCCACAACTGTTTTCACACAGTCGCACCAAACAGACAGTCAGCTTCCCCGCAGCAGCTTCTTGGGACAGCGCAGCTGCAGCTGAAAAGCTGAGAAACTTCAGTTGCGCCAAACAGAGCTTTAACGAGGTGTGACATTAAGTATATAATTTTATATAATAGTTCTAATTTTTTTTCAAGAAAATAAAATTGTTAACATCATTGAGATACATTTACCACAACACCATCCACCCTCTCCCTCTTCCAGTATTTGGATTTTGGGGAGGATAAGCGCAAAACCACACCCTACCACCTTTCTCCTCCTTCCTCGTGGAAAACACGGAGCCCCTTGCCCGTCGCTCCTCCTTTCTCCTCCTTCCTCAGAGTCTCAGAGAGGCGGCGAGTAAAAGTTATAGTCTCATCAATTCAATAAACGGCGCCATGATTCTGCAAAGTTGTTCTCTCAATCGGCCTCTGCTATCGTGTAAGGGAAAAACGACGACAATTCAGGCAGAAAAGCTTTTACCTCTGAGTATGATATCAAGGAATCTTTCTTCTTTTTCTCTTTCTTTCCGTGCCTTTCCAGCGCTTTCTTTCCTAGGTCTTCATTGTATAAATCGATCTGAATCGCGATGCTATAGGATGGTTGTCGCAAAGCTGAGTGGAGATGATCGAGAGAATGGAAACAGTGCTGAAATAGGTGGTAAGCCACGGCCGAAGAGGAGATTTTCTATGAGATTACGCCCTAGATTGCGCTTAATTTCGGCTAAACTAAAGAGGATTTCACTTCGAAGTTTGATTGAGGATGCAGTATTCGTACTTAGGAAGAATTCTAAGAAGGTCACTCTCTCTACAGTGATATCTCTTGCCATGGGGTTCTGTTTCCTGCTTCTGAAGTTCACAGCAGTTCCTATGTCTAAAGTGGTTCCTTATTCTGATTTGGTATCAAATCTTCAAACCGGAAAGGTTTCGACGGTGCTTTTTGAGGAGGGCTCTCGAAGGATTTTCTTCAACACAATGATTGACTCGCAGGATTCCTCAAAACCAGAAGAGGAAAACTCTTCGGTTAAAATTCATTCTAATCCCGTTCTTTCTAGTTCTAGTTGGAGTTCTCGTTCTGTTCCAAAATGGCAATATGTTACCAGAAAGATCGATCATGATGAGAATTTTTTGCTTGGTTTGATGAGAGAGGCGGGGACTACATATAGTTCGGCTCCACAATCTGCATTAGCGTCAATGAGGAATATTTTGATCACAATAATATCTTTGTGGGTTCCATTAACTCCTTTGATGTGGTTGCTTTATCGTCAACTTTCTTCTGCTAGTAATATTGCAAAGAAGCGCAGGCCTAGTAATCAGACAGTTAGTTTTGATGATGTAGAGGGCGTCGACGCAGCAAAAGAGGAGCTCATGGAGGTCAGTTTCATACTTAACTTGTTTTATCAAGATTGAAGAGCTGAACTTCATCAAATTGGTAAAGGTCTTTAACATGTTTCACCTGTTTAACTAACTTTTTGAGATTAAGTAGGGAAACTTATAATAAACGCATATGATTTTATGCTCACTGAATTTTGTGAAAAACTTGTTTTTTTCTTGTGCAAAATCAGATTACATGTAATATTTTATTGTTTCTTACCAAATTAAGGAGTTTTTGTTTCAACTGGATGCCTCGTTTCTCTATAATGCATCTATTTGCATTTATATGACCAAATGTTGGAATCTATGTTTCATAGACACGACATGAGGATATGGATACGACATAACACGGATTGGACACGCTCAATAAATTTTATAGCTTTAAAATTTAAAATAATCAAGAATGATTATCCTTAATTTTACATTTTACGATGCATATAAAAATGTGTCAAGACCATATGAATATCCTTAATTTTACATTCAGAAAGAAATAGATCATCCTGACAATAAATGGAATCACAAGTTTTTATTTATTTCATTTTCAATATATATAATATAAATCGTAAAAAATTATTTTCTATAAATTTTTTATCAAGGTATTAGATGCACGTATTCTATTTTTAGTTTTATTATTTTTTATTTTGGTGCACTTGAAATGTCACATGTCACGTTGCATGCCCTTATTACCCAAAGTGCTTGTACAAAGTGCAAGTTTAAATAGTTGTATTGCATCAAACTAGTGTTCAACCATTTAGCATGAGCAATGAAGTTATATTCATTAAAATTTTTTTATCCTTGCACATGATTGAGTACCAAGATAATGGGTTTTGTGTAATTACATACATGTTTGCTTACGAATATCCGTCCGTCCGTCCGTCCGTCCGTCCGTCCATCCAATCATCCATCAATTCGTCTCTTTGTTCCGTTCATCCATCCGTTCATTTTTCCATATGGTCTATATGTCTATTTACCCATTTCTCCATGCATTTCCCTGCTTATCCGCCCATCCATCCATTTGCCCATTCATCCATCCATCCATCCATCCATCCATTTACCTGCTTGTCTGTCTATCCATCCATCCATCCATCCATCCATCCATAATGCTCATTAAGTGGCATTGCAAATAATGCGAAGCATTTAAGGAGTTTGCATTCATAGTAGGTTTAAATCAAGGAATAACATTAATTCTCCATCTTGTTGTATTGATATGGAGATGAGTACAAATGATATCCAAAGGTGAGTACAAATAGGTGAGTCTTCTTTTGGAAAGTAGCGAGTTAGAACAATAGAAAATGTTTGAAGAAAAGAGTATAGGATAGGTAGACAAAACTGAGTAAATGATATATGATTTAAGTGGGTCATATTACTAGTTATCAACAAATATTATTAGAAGACAAAGTGATACCTTGAGTTGATAGATTAATCATCACGAATATATTATATTAGAAGAACCACGATATAGATTAGGATATGATTTATTGTATTAATATTATATAATTAAAATGAAGATGTGCTTAAGTGGTACTTTGAAATAATACTATCACGAAGATTTAAGGGAAATTTTATAAACGTGCAATTATGCCTGTTAGGTTGTACTAACCTGAGCGTTGGAAAACAACAAATTCAATGATAGAAAAATTAAGTATATGAAAGTTAAGTATGTTATGACGGATGTGTGAAAAAATTAGAATGGATAAAATGAAAGTTAAGTATATTAAAGTGACAGTGAGGTTAACATTTGTTGAAGATAAGATTGTGAAAAGTATGTTTAGATGATTTCAATATGTAAAATAGAGGATCAAAGATGCACTAATAAGGTCGGAAGGTATAATTTATGTCATAGGATTAGGAAAAAATTGAATCCATTATTGATAACTTGGATTATAGCTGTGCTCAAGTGTGGTATTGATAGATGCACTATTGAATGGAGAATGGGGATTAATAAAGCCGATTCAAAAAGTTGGGATGATGATGTTGATTTTGTTCTGACATGCTAGCTCATGCATGCTAGCTCATGAACAAAATTTACATTACAATATGTACTAAATGCAACCTGATGATAATTCTGTTTCCATAGTAGAGAGTAATTAAATGATATGTCAGATTTTTATGCCTTCCAATTACCTCTTTCTTTCAATTTTTATCAACAAAAAGTTTTTTATATATATTTTTATTTATTTATGTGTGTAGATAGTTTCCTGCTTACAAGGCTCCTTGGATTACAGCAAGTTAGGAGCAAAGTTACTGAGAGGTGTCCTGCTGGTAGGTCCTCCAGGGACCGGAAAGACATTGCTGGCACGTGCCGTGGCTGGAGAAGCAGGAGTTCCTTTCTTCTCCGTATCTGCGAGCGAGTTTGTAGAAATGTTTGTTGGAAGAGGTGCTGCAAGAATAAGGGAGCTTTTCAACACAGCAAAAAAATGTGTACCATCTATAATATTTATTGATGAGCTTGATGCAGTAGGAGGAAAGCGTGGTAGAAGTTTTAATGATGAGCGAGATCAAACATTGAATCAGGTTGAGAAATTTGAACTCCTATAATGCTTTATTACGCCTTTAAAGCAACTGGTTCTGTAAAAAAATAATTTTCTGTGGCTAATTCAATTTATTATGGCTGATAGTTGCTTACAGAAATGGATGGATTTGAGTCAGACATGAAAGTGATTGTTATTGCTGCAACCAATAGGCCAGAAGCTTTAGATCCAGCTTTATGCCGTCCTGGTCGTTTCTCAAGGAAGGTTCTTGTTGGGGAACCTGATCTAGAAGGAAGAAAGAATATATTGGCTGTACACGTAAGAGGCGTTCCTTTGGAGGAAGAACCTCTGATAATATGCAATCTTGTTGCATCTCTTACTCCAGGCTTTGTTGGTGCTGATCTAGCCAATATTGTGAACGAAGCTGCTTTGCTTGCTGCTAGAAGAGGTGAGTAACATTGCATCAACTGTAGTAGCTGAAAGTTCACGTTTTAAAAGCACTGTTTACTACTCTACTTTTCTTACTCATTGCTTCTTTCTCGTCATTTGTTCATGCTGTCCTTTCGCGAAGGCTCTTTTTGTCTTCGCCAACTTTGCTTCGCATAGGATGCAACTATTTGTTTGAGCTAGAACAAATTGCTCGTACTACAATTTGATTTCTCAGGATTTGTTTTGGATCATTTTTGTGAAAAAGTATGCAATTTGGTGTATTTTTCACATTTTTAGTTTTTATTTTTGAAGTAAATCAACTTGTTTTTAAAGCACTCAAATTTATTTTAGGTATTATGTGTAACAGCCCAAACTTATCCATCGAGATATTGCTCGCTTTGGCCTAATAGCCTCTTGGTTTTGCTCTATTAGTTTAACTTCCCAGGAGGCCTAATAGCCTCTATTAGTGTAACACATCCCAAAAATGCTCCATAAGAGCACATTTAACTTTAGAGTTTCTAATGAAATTCTAATTATTGCACCAAAAAACAAGTCTATGTTTAAGAGCTCAACTCCATTCTACTTTAGGTGTTTTGCAATATCCCCCGCATAAGTAAGTAACGTACTCTTCTGTTTTTTTAACCCAAAATCATCCACCAGACATATATGATTTTCAAGATAGCCCCAACAAATTGAAGAGGTGGCTCCACCTTGTAGTCTTTGTCCCATCTAGGTTCAAGAGGTGGCTCCTATGGAGCGACACTTTGTTAAGCAGGACACTTCTTTTCTCCTTGGCGGAATGTCCTCACGGTTTTGACTCATTGATGTAATTTCTCAGAAGGTCGCTCATCTTGGGAATGCTCTCATAAGAGCGAACTTAACCTTGGAGTTTTTGATGAAATTCTAATCATTATACCAAAGTTCATATCGATGTTTAAGAGCTCAACTTCATTATGTTGAAGGGGTTTAACATTTTATCTGTTTTACAATCAACAACCATTGCCACTAGCCGTTCCCAATCACTATTGACTGCTCGCCTCCGCCACCATTGCCCGCCTCTATCAGTTGTCGCCGTTGCCTACCACCCCTAGTCACCACTTACTGTTGACCATTGTTGCTACAACTGTAATTGTCTAACCTACATAAGACCACCGCCACTGTTTCGCTTGCGATCATCTTCATCACAACATTACAAAAACAACAACAACAAAACCTTTATTCCGCTAAGTGTGGTCGACTACATGAATCCTTTTTCTCCATTGCGTCCTGTTTAGTGTCATATTTTCGCTTAATTCTAATAAATTAAGATTATTTTTTATACAATATGCCCAAGTCTTCATAGGTCTACCTCTGCCTTTCTTAACATAATTCGAATCTAAAACATCCACTCTTCTAATCAGATCATCAGATGACCGACGTTTAATGTGACCAAACCATCTAAGACGGCTCTTTCTAGTTTTGTCCGTCACTGGAGCTACACCAATCCTATCACGGATATATTCATTTCACGTTTTGTCTCAAAGTGTAAAGCTAATCATCCACCTAATCATTCTTATCTCGACAACACTTAGTTTTATACTTCAATTTTAAAGGCCAACATTCAGTGTCATAGAGTATTGTAGGTCTCACCACCATATTATAAAATATTTCTTTCAGTCTAAGCGGTACTTTTCTATCACACAATAGACCCGATGCATTCTTCCACTTCAATCAAACAATTTGAATTCTACTAATAACATCCCCATCACAATCACCATCACTTTGAACAATAGACCCGAGATATCTAAAGCGTTCACGCATTTTAATAATTTGGTCACCCATAGTTATGTTTTTGTCACTAGAGCTACTACTACTAAAATTACATTCCATGTATTCAGTTTTAGTTCTAATCAAACGAAAACCTTTAGACTCCAAGGTAGACCTCCATAATTCAAGTTTTTCCTTGAGTTTTTTCTCTCGTCTTACCACGAAAAGGATATCACAAAAAGCATTTACCAAGGTGCATCCTCCTGTAAATGTCCAGTAAGACCATCCATAACTAAAGCAAAAAGATATGGGCTGAAAGCCAATCTCTGATGTAAACCAACAAAAATAGGAAAATATTTGGTCAATCCTCCTTCTGTTCGAACACAAGCAACAACCCTTGTATATATATCTTTAATGACTTGAATATAAGTCATATTAACACCTTTCTTCACAACATTAATCAATTTATTTAATATTCTATAGCAATAAAAACATATTTTTAACCTATTAAATATATTTTATTTCAAATTAAAATATAAACAAAACAAAATAAAGGAATTCCAAATGCTCTCCTAGCTTATAAAAAAAATCAAAAAGGCATGAGTATTTTATAAATAGTTAAGAGCATGCGTATAATAAAAATTTTATAACCAATATGAAAAAAAGTTAACTTCATAATAAAATATGATGTTCATCAATGAAATTTATTGTATTCAACTATGGCAATCTGTATAAAATAAATTTTACTTTCTTATGGATCATTTCATGATTAGAATTTATGCATTAATTAGTATATTAGAACTATTTACAAATTATATGGGATAGGTAAACTTTTTGTGACAGTTTATGAACATAATTAAATATAACAGGCAAAACTAATGATCTATTAAATATCTAAAAAAAATTATAATAAGTATTAAGAATAACGTCCCTAACAAAGAACGGTATATTTATCTTCTAATAAATATAAACTATCTACCTATAGTTGCAACACTTAAAACCACGTTCTAATACATCATTCAATTATTAACTTGAAAACCCTAAATAATAAGAAACTTAAATCTATATTTAAAATTATAATAGGTAATCAAACACATAGTAATAGTAACCTAAGTTTCTTAATTTAGTGAGAAATCAATTAAATTGTACTTTAAATAAATTTCTTATAAGATATTCAATTATTTGACAAGTATACCAAAATATTGAGGATGAAACAATGACTCAAAATTTTGAAATCAAAGTTACAAGAAGGAATTGAGAAAATGGGTTGGTTAAATTGAGGTAAGCTGGTATGTGAAAACCTACTGTAGCTTCAATTAATCTCTGAAACAATGAATATATGAACAACAAGAAGAAAGCTGTAACAATATTTGGAGGAGAGGGGAGTAACTGTGATGGCTGTGGAAAGAGAGTGAAACTAAAGTATTGTTTCTCTACGTTCAAAGAAGTGAATTTGAAGACAAGGAAAGATAAGGCAACTACAACGGCTCCGTTTGTGGTTGAAGGAGAAGATGACGAGGAAAGCTAGCGAAATACGTAGTCATAGCTCAAGAAGATTCGCTGAAGAAGATAAGGAAGAGGGACCCGTGGGATGGTTGCTTAGCTAAAGGAGACGAGGGAGACAATACAATGCAAACTCTAACTCCTCATCTTAAATCAGTAATAGAGGTGATAGGAGCATAATCATTGCGTTTTAGGGGGCAAGTCAATTAGAGGTGTCAAATCAGGTTCGCTGGTTAGGTTCGAGTTTGAACTGAAGATGGTATTAAATGGGCCAAAAAGTCCAACCTGAATCCAACTCATGTAACTGGTTTAATATAAGAAATAATAGCTATTCATGTCAAATTTGAGTCAAATTTGTGTTGATTTCCAGTCAATTCTTTCATTCACATACTCCAAATTCACCCAAAACACGAGTATTTATAGAATACAAGGACTCGTAAGACTCGTTAAACCATCTATTAACTACCTAACACCTACTTTTAACCTGCAAACAACTAAGACCCATATTGATCCACTTATTACATTCATTGAAACTTACATGGTAACATAGATACCATATAATTTTTATGCATTTCCATATCTAACACCCAAAGTTTGATATTTACACTCATAACATTTTGGTATCATAAAACTATGCATGAAAAGGAGTACTTCACATATAAAAAATTAGCAATGGCGGTTTATGTGATGTTAAAGTTTCGAGTAAATATGAAAGATAAGCTGTTAGATATATATATATATATACACGTAACAATTGTGTGGTATGTATGTAAATGCCCCTTAAACTTTTTTGCTTGTATTACTTCATAACTTTTTTCATTTAAGAATCAATTAGTAATATAACTACTACCATTATGATCAAAATAAATAATATTTTGTTGCAGGTGGTGAAACTGTATGTAGAGAAGATTTCTTGTTGGCAATAGAGAGAGCTAAGTTTGGGATTAATGAAAAGCCATTAAGTCCTATTGCTATAAAGAGAAGTATTAGTAAATGGTTTCCATGGATGCCTGCTCTGTTGAGGAAGGATGGAACAGGAGAAGATGGCCTGCATAATCTTATGGGTTATCAGACACTAAGCTGATCCTAGTTCTCTGAAACTGCTTTTTCCTGCCATTTTTTTTGTTTCATTTTTGTTTATTTTTGTATTATGATATTGCTATTTTATGATAGTGTGGTTTTTGAATATGGTATTTCATTTTTTATAAATCAATTATGTGGGGATTTACATAACATATTATATAAATTTTTGAACATTTACATTCGTAGGACACAATTCTTATGTATTTACATATCTCACATCAAAGCTTTCACATTCATTTGCATGGTACGCATATCATTAATATCACGCAAAAAAATAGTGCTATTATCACATTTTAAAAGTGGAATACATATTTTTATTCATAGATTTAAAACACTAAAATGTTGTGTATGCAAATTTGAAAGTTTATGTCTAAGATACGTAAATTCCCGTAATTGAAGCATTATAATGAAAGTTTGACATTTATTTATATGATATTATTGTGGTATTATAACGTCAAAAATGCCAAAATGCATGTATGAAATTTATTAGGAAAGTGTTTTTTTGAAAGTTGTCGTGAATATTACAATTTTTTAAGGGGCATACAATGCAATTATGTATATATATATTTAGTATTGAAACTCTTATTTTTTACGTGCATTTCACTTAAATCTTTAATATTACATAAAAAAAATGTAGAAATATAAATATAGGGTGTTAGATTAAGACTCTTTTTATATAATAAAAGACGCAAAATCATGATCACATAAGTTGTGATGATTTAATCTTAAAAATAAATAAATAAATATAAAAATAATATGTCAAGCGACAATGAGTCGAATACTAAAAAAAAAGTTTATTCGTGTTCACAAAAAACCGAACACGAACTACTTAACAAGCCGAACACGAGCTATTTACAAATGAATTTTTTTTAACGGTTCTTATATCGCCCAATTCGTTGTATTTGCTTATCTAGCATTTAAACTTTAATTTTCACATTTATAAAAGCTAAAATTTTAGTATTAAAAATGAAATAAAACACACACCTCGCTCTTGACCGTTAGTCGGCTAATTTTGAAAAATAATTAAATAAATAAAAAGGACTCTCTGGAACCAATGTCTGCGCTGGTTCTACACTGTTTCTCTTTAAATCATAGAAGCCGAAGAGAAAGAGAAAGAAAGAGTGAAACAATGGTGAAGAAAGCTTGTTGGAAATCCAATGAGAGGACGCCTCTTGGCGATATCTCCAACGCCGGAAAACTTTCGAGGGATCCCAATAAGAAGATTCAGTTGGATCGAGGCTGCGGCGGCGTTTTCGATCGCCTCCATCTTGTTCGATCGAAGCTCTCTGATCTCGTTGATCAGGTATTATGAGTTAAAGTCCTGTATTATTTACTGTTTGCGCTTAAGAAGGATTGAGGGTTTAGACATTTTGGTGTTTGAGATCTGAAATTTTTAGGGTTTTTTTATTTTCTGGAGCGGGAAATCTGGTTTTCTGTTTATTTAGGGTTCTTTCTTTTGATTGGGTGAGGTTTTGATTTGTTCTGTTTTCTTCTTCTTCTTGTTCTATTTATGTTTGTCAAAGCATGGAGATCTGATTACAGTGCTTTTTATTTATCTGAGGCTACTCATGTTTCTCTGAGTTATCAAGAAGTTCATGGCGCCTACCATAAAAAAGCAATAAGCTTCACTGTGACAAACTTAATTCACTTCTGTAATCAAAGGAAGAAAAGCAAAAAAGAAACAACTTGGGAAGATAGCAAAGGTTAGGCTTGCGTTTTTGTTGTTCTGATAGGGTTTCTATGCCCTAATCCCTGATATATAAACGCCAAACCCTAAATTATCTTCTCCTTATATTCTTGGGTTGCCTGTAAACTCATTTTTCAGCCACTTAAATGAGATGCATTTCTCTCTAGCTGCCATATCCACCCTACCCTTGTTGGAGGAGCTTTCTCTTTATGTAACATCCACTATTTATTGAACTTATGTTGAAAGCACTGATGAAGATGTATCTTTTTACATGCAATGAAGTTTCCCAAGGCCAAAAGCTTTTTTTTTTTTCTTAGTAAAAGAACATGAAGTCTAGCAAAGAAAATTTTGGGGAGATTACTTTGTAGATTAAGCTTCTTAATTTTCTTCTATATTGTCAAAACCTTGATCACAACTTTAAAGTTACTAGTCAGATCAGCACCTCTTTGCTCTCAATTGCAAACTCATTGCTATCAAATCACAGTTTATCTTGGCTAGAGTTTGTGTGCAAATAAACCTTTTATCTCGCCAATTCCATAACAATAAATATTAATGGAGCGAAGCTTTTACCGGAGGTTATTTACGGCTGGAAACTTTATAATTGCAAATCTTGTAATATTTTGCCCATGAAGAACATCATTGCCCCATCTCCTTGAATAATACCAACCCAACTACCAACAACTGTTAGATATGCTCCAAAGCTTTCTTTACTCCTCTGGTGCTTTGGATGGCATTGCTCAAAGCCTTTCTTCTTTAATGGGGATCATATTCTTAGATTACCTCTTTGACAAACTCTCGTTCTCTTTTCATGGAACTTAAGTTTCATGAAAAACTCACTAAGTTTCATCAATCCCAACTACAGATCAAAACTTAATTCGCGTCTGCCCTATAATGAAACTTAACCCCACTCCCCCAAGATTGCTATGAAATTGCTAAGCATCTTAAGAGTATTTCTAACTTTCACTCATGATACAAATCCAAAACCATACAAAAAACTAGATGTTACCCAATCCTAGCATCCTCAAACATTAAAGGAATTCAAAAAGTTGTTGAATCCCGAAGTGCACGAACTTGATCTGGCATTCTTGTATCGATCTTATATATCTTACTATAACCAAATCTCTTGAAGACTCTCTTCTCAACTCTCTCTTAAGCGTAAAACTTCAGCTTTTTCTTTCAAAGGATTGCATACAAATCCAAAACTATACAAAAAACTCAATGTTACCCAATCGTAGCATCCTCAAACATTAAAGGCATTCAAAAAGTTGTTGAATCCCCAAGTGCACGAACTTGATCTGGCATTCTTGTATCAATCTTATATATCTTACTATAAACCAAATCTCTCTATTAATCATAAAACTTCAGCTTTTTCTTTCAAAGGATTGTATACAAATCCAAAAGCATACAAAAAACTCGATGTTACCCAATCCTAGCATCCTCAAACATTATAGGCACCCAAAAAGTTCTTGAATCCCCAAGTGCACGAACTTGATTTGGCATTCTTGTATCAATCTTATATATCTTACCATAAACCGAATCTCTTGAAGATTCTCTTCTCAACTCTCGATTAATCATAAAACTTCAGCTTTTTCTTTCAAAGGATTGTTGTAGCAACTATCTTGTTGATTTCAATGATTGCATGCTTGAATTACACAATTTCGAGCTTTCTTACTCTTGGTTCAATAATTAGATTTATGTCATATCTAGTTTAAAACCGAAAGTGCTCTAGTTATGTTATTGACTTGACCTTCTTCTTTCTTTCTTTTGGTTGTTCTCCTCTCCTCATCTACTTGGACTCTCTCCCCAAAACTAAGCACAAGCTTATCTTGAAAATTCTTGGATCTATTGTGTTGACATTTTGGATATTATTAAGAATGCTTCGAGCAACTTTATTGAAGAAGACCGTGTTCTTCAAAAATGTCCATAGTAGTTAAATCCAGGCTAAAAAACACACTCTTTTGGGACAATTCCAATCACATCATCAATTTCACCAAGTATATCTCAAGCAAGACTAAGCCAGCTAGTTCGATTTTCTTGAGTCAAATCCGTTACATTGTGAACTTCTTTCTAATGATAACACTATTCAAGAAAAGTTTTTCAACATGTCCTCTAATGAACACATTTGGATTTCTCAGATAGCAAAAGCCAAATAGCAAAAGCAAAAGCCAAATGGCTTTGCCCATCAAAAATAAAAGAAGAGGCACGTTGATCAGGTATTATGAG